AGTTGTTCTTTTTTTAATAAATCTCTTGTTTCAAAACCATCCAATATTAAAATAATTCCATTGAGAAGAAAAACAACTTGATAGAATGGTCTGTTGGTCATAACTTAAGTGTGTATGGGTGAGTGTGTAATTGTTATGGTCCGATTCCTTGTACCACGGTGACAGTCCAAGGTAGAACCAATAAAGAAGAACTCGAACACGGATATAGAATAACACAGATATATTACAAACAGGAATATATACAGAGAAGTAGAAAGTGTTAGTACGAACAATCAGGTTTAGTAGTAATTGTCTGAACGTGACTCTGTTTCAGACTGCCTCTGACTCGACTGACTGACTCGCTCGCTCTGACTGACGGACTTTTGACGGACCTCACTCCAGACTTCAGACTGAACTTCCTGCTTCCTTTTGAGGTACAGTATTTATTACGTATGGAATAGTCCATTATGTTATTATGAGTAAGGTCCCATAACAGTAATCAAAAAGAAAAATTCATACCAAATATATGCTGAGAATTATCTATAGTGCTAAAATGAAAAAAACCATGTTCTGTTACCAGATAGTTTTCTGTGGTTGTCATTTGCGTAAGATGATGTGACTTTTTTACTAAAAATACACAGACATTGTAATAAGCAATTGAATAAAATGCTTACTTTTAATTATTTGTGTTTCTTAATAGTTTTGTATAGTAATAATTTGGAAGCTGATTTGAGGGAGACAGGCAGACAGCATAGACAAGAAAGTATCTTTTGGCACTACAAGGTCTTACAGTTTATGAGATGTTGCCAAAAAAAGTATAAATTTTTGTGCTATTATTACTGACTTTTATGGTGAAAATGACGAAAAACACTGCAATAGCAGAAAGATTACAATAAAAAGATAGATAAAGATATTACAAAATCATTTGTTGAACAATGATTATATTAGAAGATCTCTAGAGAATATAGTGTGGAACACCAGAAAATTCACTAAAAGACAATGCTAGAATCAAAAATGATGAATTAGTCATAAACTAAAACATAAAAGGCTGGACCTGTAAAAAATTCTACAGTTGTTAAAGAAGTTAACCATGATCTTGTTCTTCTGCTTTCATTCATCCTTCATGTGTATCTTCCCATTTTTTCCCTTATCCCTTTTAACTTTCATTCCTAGTCCATGATTTTTTATAAATGCTATATAAAAATGGTTGAAAAAACAAATTTGAATAAGAATGTGGAAATATTTTCTATTGTATATTTTCTTTTTCTTTACACTATTTACATTATTCGGACTATTGTCCTCATCTTTGTCGCCATATTTATGACAACATTTTAGCCGTTGTACGCTCCAGCCTTCTTCAAGTGGTTGGAATGTCGAACTTAACCCTTTATTTCACTCAATGAGGTAGACTGTTCTAGTCCCACCTTTATCCACTGTGCCATGTGTCCTCAAGTACACATGGCACAGTGTGTAAAGGCTTTGGTTAGATCCAGTGATAGAGTGTGAGTTCAATACCCAGTTTAGGCAGTGGAGAACTTGGAGAGGGTAGTTAACAGGAGATAGCTGATAGCTGACATCCATTAAACATGGCACATGGAATTAGAACAGTCTACCCCAATAAGCGAAATAAAGGGTTCAGTTTGAGATTCTAACCACCTGAAACGTTGTAATAAATATGGTGACAAAGGTGTGCACAATAGCCCGAATAATGTAAATAGTGTACATAATACCTCATTTTTTTTTTCTTTTAATCTAACTTCATAAAAAAAAAATAATGACTCTTTTGACACCTTTTCCTTACCTCCCCATTAATGAGGAAAGAGGGCTTGGAAAATTTGATACTCACAGGACAAATTTAAGTCAAGAGGGACAGAGGCAAACAACACATAATATACTTGAGTAAATGGATAGTGTAAAAGGATTTAGGAGAAACAACAAAACCACAAAATTTCTTAAGAGCTACAAAGAACAGGAAATTGTGGAAAGCCATGATCACCTATGTCCTGGGGAAAGTTTCCTTCCTACCCTTTTATTGAAGGCTTGGAGAACATCAACATCTTGATTATGTCATTAATTTCTCTTCAATTTACATCTGATATCCATTTTAGCAGTTGCTGCTGTTGAAAGTCACCAAGTGATATGATTTCTGTGTTCTGGTACAGTTCTTTATTTGTGATGCTATAGCACTAGTGCATAAAGTTTGAAGAAGAATTGTCCTGGCTAAGACCTACAGGCTTCATTCACTGAAAACCATTTTTAAGCACTGATTTTGTCCCTGCCTGCATATGCCCACAGAATGCCTACAAAACATCTGCATAGCAACAGACACTAATATCTTTAAACATCCTCATTGGTCCATACCAACCAATGAAATACCTTCCCGCTTAAATCTCAAATCCTGTCTGAGAGCATACCTATAGTAATTTAAGGAACAGGCCCAGACAACAGAAAAACAGAGAGAGAGAGAGAGAGAGATATGCATGATGTTGTTGCCATATTTATGAGCAGAAAGAGAGATCATCTTGCAAACAATTAAAGAACACATACAAATTACTACACCATAGAAATACAACATGGAATCTGAAGTTAGATAACAACTTCATAAACCTCACTGAAGACAAATCATTATACAGGTAAGTAAAACAAGAACTCTCTCTGTATCTATCTCTTGACACTGCATTCAAACCCACCATGAATAAATTCACTTAAGTTCATTGTTGCATTTTGTTTCTGTAAATAAATATTGTTAACCTACAGCATGTCTTTACTCACATGATTTATGTGGCATAGCAGAAAGGAAGAATAACTTTCAATCAAAATCCTTCTGATATTTATACACGCCAAATTTTCAGCTTTCAATTTTCCACCATCTGCAACAATTTAAGATAGATCTGATGAGGCAATTTAAGAACCCATAAATAATGTAAATTAAATAATTTTGTCTCAATTTTTTTTATTTTGTCTTCATTCCTTCCTCCTCTCTATCTCTCTACATTATATATATATATATATATATATATATATATATATATATATATATATATGAGAGAGAGATTTAAGCAAAATGGATGTCATTATTTAGCCTTTAGGACCCTTTTGATAACACGTTTTCAAAAGATAATCATTGGCGAAGCAAAAAAATAATAATGAATGAGGAGGCAAAGTTGGAACACGATTAAAATAAAATTTTGACTTTTTTCTATTTTATACTTTCTTGGAAGTTCCCAATTTTTTAGTCGTTAATTTATTTACAATTAAAATTTATTTTAATTGCATTCCAACTTTCCCTCCTCATTCGTTATTTATATTTAATGCATCTTTGATTGTTTTTGTTTTTTTTTGCTTTGCCAACGATTACCTTTTGAAAAAGTGTTGGCCAAAAGGTTAAATAATGATGTCTATTTTGTTTAAATCTATTTTCTATTTCTCTGGGTACAAGTATATATATATATATATATATATATATATATATATATATATCTCCTTTCACCTGGTTTTCTTTTTGCTTTTCTTGAAATTCATTGCCTCCTAAGTTTCCTCCTCTTTTCCATCTTCCCACATTCATTTTTAATATTATAATAAGGATTTCTAAGTCAAAAGTGCTTGTGATTCTAACTCAGAAGGCTGGGGTGAAACACAAAAACACAGGTACTACACTTTGATCTGAAATGTAAAATATGTAGAATCCCACATTTTAGAAATTCAAACAGGAATATGCTAGGCCACAAAATCTCCTGAGCTGACCAAGCATAGAAATGAATACAACATGGGAACCAGTAATAAGGAGTGCCAGAGAAAAGTGATAATAAGAGCAAAAAATTGCAATATGAGCACTGGTAAAAATATGTTCCTGAAGACATTATGTTTATAATACCCAGAAATTCATACACAGATGTCCTCAAGGATACATGGCGTTAGTTATATCTAGTGACAGGACTCAAAGAGTGTGAGTTCAATACCCAGTTAAGGCAGTGGAGAACTTGGAGAGGAGAATTAACAGGAGATAACTGATAACTGACTTCCAGTGGAACTAGAACAGTCTACCCCAGGGTTCAGTTTGACAGAAGGCCAGAGCGTACAACGGCCGACCAAGCATAGAAATGAATACAACATGGAAACCAGTAATAAGGAGCGTACAACGGCTGAAATGTTGTAATAAATATGGCGACAAAGATGAGGACAATAGTTCGAATAATGTAAATAGTGTACATAGTACCTCATCTCAGAAATATAGACAGATACTGAAAGGCCGAAACGTTGTAATAAATATGGCGACAAAGATGAGAACAATAGTCCGAATAATGGAAATAGTGTACATAATACCTCATCTCAGAAATATAGACAGATACTGAAAGGCCAAACGTTGTAATAAATATGACGACAAAGATGAGGACAATAGTCCAAATAATGTAAATAGTGAGTAATAATCTCAGAAATATAGACAGATACTGAAAGGCGAAACGTTGTAATAAATATGACCGATGAGGACAATAGTCCAATAATGTAAATAGTGTACCTCATCTCAGAAATATTGACAGATACTGAAAGGCTGAAACGTTGTAATAAATATGGCGAAAAAGATGAGGACAATAGTTCGAATAATGTAAATAGTGTACATAGTACCTCATCTCAAAAATATAGACAGATACTGAAAGGCCGAAACGTTGTAATAAATATGGCGACAAAGAATAGAACAATAGTCCGAATAATGTAAACAGTAAGGAATAAAAGAATCAAGAAAACATCCCGACCTTGAGTACCTGTCCATAGTGTCATTGTTATCAAGTGAATTAAACACATCATCTATTAGTTGAAGGATTTATACCTTCACTGGTCACTTTACTTTCATAACTGAGATTATTCATTACCAATAAAAGCATTTTGTGATGGTTAACAAGACCAATGCAAGGTTTTACTAAGTTCAATTTTCACTAGATACAGGACTATTCTAGCAAAGGTCAGATGAGTAAATATCTTAAGATCAAGTTTTTTTCTTTTTTACTAATGTTTACCTAATACAGGCCCCAAGAGCCACACAAGGCAGAGGGTTACTGAATTATGTTGTATTAATATAATAGGAGGAGGTAAGAAGTGCAGTTTATGATGATAAGTAGGATAGATACAGGTGAACACTCAACTTGAAGAGGTTAAGATTGTAGTGATCAGAAATTCATCTACTCAGGAGTTTGTACCAGAAAGTAATCGTTCATAGGAGGAAGCTACCAGAAACTGTCTTCTTACTAATGGGGTATGAAAAGAATAAAAATAATTCAGCCCAGTGTATGTAGCATAGAAGGTCAGGATTAGAGCATTTGCCATGGGAATAATGAAACTATAGTGAGAGGTTTACGACATTTCGTCTGCAAGGAAAAGGGATTGCAGAGTGGTAAGTCATTCCATCACTCACAAGGCTGCATAGATGCTTTTGAACTTTAGGAAGACTGAGTGGCTCCAGTCCCAATATGTCAGTGTCCTCCATTTTGGGTCTGATCTTGTTACATTACAACATATCTTCTCAGAGAAAAGCGGGAGATGATTTTATTTTACAATCAATAAGTCATTCTTTAAGAAGGCAAAAATGAAAATCTACTGAAGGTGACATTTATTTATATGCACTGTGTCAGGATTAAGATTAAAATTATTTCTTCTACAAGAGAAAAGATTACCCGTTTGTATCTTTTGCCTGCTACACCCACTGGAGACAAACAAGATATTCTATGAACACAAGCCCTGTTTTTAACAAACAATCATTACCTCCTGCTTCTTGTGATATAAGACACTTCAGATTCTGTAAAAAAAATCCTTATATCAAACTTTCTATCAAACCATTGGAGGTTAAATAAACTCTGAAAGAATTACTGCTGAACTGGAGACAAACATTTCTCTAGAGATTATCAACGAATAATTATAACAAAAAAAATAGATCCATGTCTAATGATTATTTGGATTTTGCAGTTAAAGAAATATTAAAATAGGAAAAATGTTTCTATCTTAATTTCTGGTATAAGGAATTATTTATACTATTTACATTTGGACTATTGTTATCACCTTTGCTTCTGTTATCTTATCTAATAACTGCTTTGTTAGTGCTATTTGATTTCTTTCTGAATTTCTTGTATGAGAAGTTCTCTTTATTTACAGTTGGACTACTGTCATCATCTTATGTTATTATCACAACATTACACTTATTGGCTTCTATGGCCTTCAATTGGTGCTTTCTGCTGAGTACCCTTCATGGGGTGTCAAACACTTTATTTAATCTACAGGGATAAATTGTTCTCTTTCTGCTGTTGATGTCTAGGGATATCTCATCTTGTTCTGATTTGGTATTGCTCATTTATTGTACAAATATTCACTGCCTGTCCCAAGGATTGAACTTACAATTACTATGTCACCAAATTCATGAGCCAATGCTTTAATCCACGAGGTTACTGTTCAATCGGATCTGATGAAGGCCAAAGGGCACAACAGCCAAAATGTTGATAATGACAATAAAGATGAGAACAATAATAATCCCCATGTAAATAATGTGAATAACAGAAAGAGAAAGTTGAAATTTCTTGGACACATAACGAGGAAAGAAGGTGTGAAGAATTCGACACTCACAGAAAATACTAAAATTAAAAGAAGCAGGTGAAACAATCTGTGGCCTACTTACTAAGTTTGTGTAAATGGATGACAGAATAACAATAAAGATTGATGATAAAGATTTCAAAAAGCAACAAAAGTGGGAATGTTGTGGAGAGCCAAGATCATCCGCATGGAGAGATAAGGCACATAGATGTTAAAAAATTCAATTCCATTGATTGAGTTTTAAAATTAAAGAGAAAATTATGAATAAAAAGTAACATCATATCATTAATTTATTAAATTCCATTGGCCAAACATTTACGATGGTTGCCCAAATATGATGATAAACTACATTCGTGTCCTGGGTAAGATGATGAACTACATCTGGCAGAAAGGCCTCTGATCAAAGCTTTTGAGGAGTGTGGAAGCATCTCATAATTGCTGGTGTTCCCAGGTCCACCCTGACCTGGGGTGGTAGCACCTGTCAGAGTCCCAGCTATGGGCAAATAGTTAACCCCCAAACTGGGGTCAAAACAATATGAAAGTGTAAAAATAGGTTTTAATACCAGAAATACTTTTTTAAAAAAATATTACCAGTGATATATTTTTGGAAAGAAATATTACAAGCAATAGAATTTTGGAAAAAAATTATTACCAGCGATATATTTTTGGAAAAAAAATTATTGCCAGCAATAGATTTTTGGAAAAAAATATTCCCAGCATTAAATAACCCATTGAGGTTGATATGCCATAAAACAAAACAAAACAAAACAAAACAAAACAAAACAAAACAAACCAAATGGTTATAGAAAATTTAACCCTGTTCATTTTTACATTTTTTGGACTATTGTCCTCATCTTTGTCGCCATATTTATTACAATGTTTCGGCCGTTGTACGAACCCTTTATTTCACTCACTGGGGTAGACTGTTCTAGTTCCATGTGCCATGTT